AGGCAATCCACTCACCTCAGCCTCCCAAAGGCACGGGATTACAGGCTGAGCCACCGAGTCGGCAAGCCCATGTTTCTTAAGCTTTGGACCCCTCCTCTACTTTGGGGATGTCAATCTCCTCTTTTGCTCTCAAATTTACTTTCTAAATAAACTATATTTTCTAATCTAAAAAAGTTGTTCAACCTTACTCATAAACAAATGGAAAATCAAATGAGATCTCATTTTCACCTGTAGAATTAGAATTAGATGAAAGTGTAACACACTATTTAATGAAAAGGCATTACTAAATACTTTTTTAAAGCTTCATATAAATGAAATTATAAGTATAGTTTCTTTTGTGTCTAGCTTCTATTGCTCACTATTATGTCTGTGAGATTCAATTACATTCTGCATGTAAGAGTAATATTATTAATATTCAATGTATTTTTTATTTTATTTTTATGAGTCAGGGTTTCACTTTGTTGTCCAGGCTGGAGTGCAGTGGCAGGATCACAGCTCACTGGAGCCTTGACCTCCTGGGCTCAGATGATCCTTCCAGCTTAGCCTCCTGAGTAGCTGGAACTATAGGCGTGTGCTACCACACGGGGTTAATATTTTGTTTCGTAGAGACAAGGTCTCACTATGTTGCCTATGCTAGTCTTGAGCTCTTAGGCTCAAGCAAGCCTCTTGCCTCGGCCTTCCAAAGCGCTGGGATTATAGGTGTGTGCCACCATGCCTGGTCTGTTCTGTTTTCTATTTGATTGTCCTTGAACTGATATTATACTATTTTAATTAGTATAGCTATGCTATAAGTCTGGAAAACTGGGGATTTAATTCTTTCAACTCTGTCTTTAAACACTCTCTTAGCTATTCTTGCCTTTCACATTTCCATATCAATTTCAGAATGAGCCTGTCAACTTGCACACGCACATACCTGCAAGGTATTCTATCAAGCTCAGATTAAATTTATAAACAGATTTGGAAAGAATTGTCACTTTTACAGTACTGAGGCTTTTAATCCATAAACATAGAAACCCCTCCATTTGTCTTGATCCTTATTATTTCGCACTAACAACTTGTAGCTTCTAAGGACATCTTTCACTAGATCTTTCTAGTGTACATCTTTCACTAGATTTACATATAGATACTTGATTTTTTGGAATACTAATGTAATGGCTTTTCATTTTTTAATAATTAGTTAATTAATTAATTATTTTAAGAAAGTCTCATTCTGTCACCCAGGCTGGAGTGCAGTAGCACTATCATAAGCTCACTGCAGCCTTGAACTCCTGGGTTCAAGCAATCCTCTTGCCTCATTCTCCTGAGTAGCTAAGACTTCAGGCACATGCTACCACACCTGGCTAGTTTTTTTGTTTTTTGTTTTGTTTTGTTTTGGTAGCAACAGGGTCTCACACCCCTGGCCTCCAGCAATCCTTCTGCCTCAGCCTCCCAAAGTGCTGAGATTACAGGTGTGTGCCACTACACTGGTGGCTTTTCATGTTCAACTATATAAAAATTTAAATAATTTTTCCTTTTTGTTTCCTATGCAAATCAAAACAAAACATTAAAAAAATGAATAGGCAAGCCACAGACTGGGAAAAAGTATTCAAAAGAAAATGTATCTGACAGAGGACTCACATACAGGATATATAAAGAACTCCTATAGCTCAATAACAAAATATAAACTACTCAATTAACATTGGGAAGATTTTAACAGATCTGTCACAAAGGAAGTATGAAGTAAAGATCAAGATGTTCAACATCATTAGACATTAGAGAAATAAAAATTAAAACCACAAAAAGGGGGAGGGGGTGGGATTGGCAGTTGAAGGAAACTGCTAGGGGAGGGAGGGGCATACCTCATCAATAAGGATACCTGCATAATCAATGTTTATATACCTGACCCTGAATTGCATCCCACATCTTTATAAAACAAAAAACAAAAAACCCCACAAAAAGACACCACTATAGATCCACCAGAATCGCTAAAATAGAAAGGACTGCCAACAACGAATGCTGACAAGGTTATGGGGTAACTGGAACTCTCACACATTGTTGACAGGAATGTGGGATATAAGAGCTAGTTTAGCAAAAGGTCTGTCAGATTCTCTATAAAACCAAATGTACACTTACTATATTACCCCACAATTCCACTCCTAGTATTTAGATAAAAGAAATGAAAACATATATTCACAATAAGATTTGTATATGAAAGTTCATAAGATCTGTTAATAATTATAAAAAACTGGAAATGGCTGGGTGTGGTGGCTCATGCCTGTAATCCCAGCACTTTGGGAGGTTGAGGCAGAAGGATTTCCTGAGCCCAGTAGGTTGAGGCTATGGTAGCCCTGAGCGTGCCACTATTGCACTCCAGCCTGGGTGACAAAGTGAGACTCCAACCCCTAAAAACAAAAGAAAAACAAATGGAAACAGGCATCTATCAATATGAAAATGGATAAACAAACTAGAAAATATTCACACAATGCAATACTACTCAGCAATAAAAATTAACAAATTACTGCTACACACAACACTGATAAATATCAAAAGCATTTGTGGTATGTGAAACAAGTCTTATGTAAAAGAACACATATGGTATGAATATCTTTTTATGAAATTTGAGGAGATGAGACTAACCTATCTATGGTAGGAAATGGTGGTTGCCTCTCTTTAAGAAGTGAGGCCAGTGACAGCAGATGAGAGAACTTTGTGGGGTAACAATATTCTATGTCTTGATAGACATGTGGATTACAAAGGTGTATACATTTTTTAAAACACAGCAAGGTGACCTTAAGATCTAGGCATTCCATTTTATGAGAAGTTTTCAACTTCTGTAACAGGATCTGAATAAACGAAACCTAGCCTCTGCCTGCCTACTAGATAGACTCCCCAGATTCCTTCTTTTCTGATTCTAGTGGGTTATTTAGGTAGTTTATATGTGCTTGAGGCACCCTAGTTTCAACATCTTTTCCCATCAATGGTTGAGGTTCCTTGCTTCTAGGCCAGGGGAGTGATGTGTTAGTCTGTACCTAATATTTAGCCTCTTCTCCTTTGCATGTTTCAGTAGCTGTAGTATTACAGTGGAAAAAAATACTCTCTATTCAGTCTCTACCTCATCAGGGTTCTATTTTATAACCAGGCAGCTCAGCAGTGTTTTCCTGCACTCTGAGTTTCTTAGAGACCAAGGTAAAACACCCATTTCTTCCCCTAATATTTTATTTTATAGACAACTGATTATCTCACATTTCAGGATCAACATCTGTATAAACTTATATAAAATGACTGATGACTAAACTATAACTTTTTTTTTTTACCTTGTCAAATTCCTAACTTTTAATGTGATTTACTCTCTAACCAAGGAAAATCAAAGATTTATGATCCTGGGCTGTCTTTTGGGGACTCCAGTGCCTTTAAGACAGATACCTGCTCTCTCTGAAGCCAGCCACCACACATAAGGCTTCATCTACATATCTATACATATTCATCTACGTGGCTCCCTTATCTTCCTCAA